CCACGGACCTTGTAGTTGTCCCTGTCGGTGATCTTGCGGGAGACCTGCTTGAGAGCGCTGGCGGTGGTGGCATCTTCCACGTAGAACTGAGCCCGGTTGTGGTCGTAGTGGAACTGAAAACAGGATGGGTTGGGGTCCGGGCAGCTGCTCCCGCAGAGCTGGAGCACAGCCAGCCTCCTGGGAGGCACATGCCCCCCTGCCAGACCGCCTCAACCTCCCCAAAATGGGAAGCGAAACAAAACCCGGGCACCTGGACCCCGCTCACCTCGACGGGAGTGAAGGGAACGCTGCAAAGGTTCTGGATGGAGCTCAGCAGCCACGACTTGTCGTATTTTTTCCCATACGGGATCTAAGAGACAATTTGCCCGGCGTCAGGGCGCAGGCAGGGCGTGGGCAGGGCTGGCAACAGCGCACGCTGCTTGACTGGTCGTGGAGGAATTGCCGCAGCCCTGCCCAGGCCGTGCGTGTCGCAGCTGGACAGGATGCAGCTGCCTTCTGCGTACGCCCAGGAAAAAAGGAACAGAAAAGGCGGGAAGAGAAAAGGTGGCGAGGGAAAAAGGGAGGGAAGGCAGCAAATACACTATTTCAGCTAGAAGGGACCTACAACGACCATCTTGTGCAACTGCCCGACCCCTTCAGCGCTGAGTAAAAGCTAAAATGCGCTGTTAAGAGCGTTATCCAAATGTCTCTGCTGCCCTGCCAGGCTTGGCGCACAGATCCCCTCTCCAGGAAGCCTGTTCCAGCGTCTGAGCACCCTCTCGGTACAAAAGTCCTTTCTCACATCTGCTCTGACCCTTCCCTGGCGCGGTTTTGAGCCATTCCCACGTGCCCTGTCCCTGGATCCCGTTCCCATGTAGCAAACGGCTCTTTTTTTAGCAGCGTAGTACGTTACTACATACGAAATAATCCCAAAACCTATAGTAGTAGCTAGTGATAGGATGAGAGAAAATGGGCTCAAACTGCACCAGGGGACATTTAGGTTGGATATTAGGAAAAATTTCTTCATGGAAAGGGTAGTCAAGCATTGGAACCGGCTGCCCAGAGAGGTGGGGGAGTCCCCAGCCCTGGAGGGGTTCAAAAAACAGGCAGAGGTGGCACTTTGGGACGTGGTTTAGTGGGCATGGGGGTGTTGGGTTGATGGTTGGGCTGATGATCTTAGAGGTCCTTTCCAAGTTTAATGATTCTTAGTTTTTACTTTCATTATAAATAATGCAGCCACCAAGCCAGGAAACATGAAATTGCTGCTCTACCCTTAACTCGTTTAGTGATGGACTTGGTAACGTTAGGTTAATGGTTGGACTGGATGATCTTAAAGGTCTTTTCCAACCTAAAAGATTCGATGATTCTATGATTCCAAGAATTAAAATATTTACTTCTGGATGGCCGAAGAAGTGGCCGAGCTCAACGCATCCCGTCCTCGGGAAGCCGCAGAGCACGACATGGTCGCCCCGCAGCCTCCTCCTCTCCAAACTAGACCAGCCCAGACTCCTCAGCTGCTCCTCGCAAGCGCGTTCCTCCCAGCCCTTCACCAGTTTCATTGCCCTCCTTGTGTTCAAGTTCACATTCAAACACCCTAACGCCCTTTTTAAAACCGCGGGGCCCACGGTGCTCGAGGTGAGGCCGCGCCAACGCCGAACGCGGCGGGACAATCCCCTCCCTTCGCTGTCTGGCTCTGCTGCGTTTGATGCCGCCCGGGTGCGGGCTGCCCTCGCTGCTGGCTCCTGTTGAGGTGCTGCCAACCGGCACCCCCAGATTCCCTCCCAATTTATCCTTGCGCCTGGCGTTACTCCATCCCGGACGCAGAACCCGGCGTTTGGACTCGGTACGTTTCATCCCGTTAATAATAACGCAAAAGAATCACAGAATTTTTAGACTGGAAAAGACCCTTAAGATCATTGAGTCCAACCGTTAACGCGGCCGCGTCCACGCTAAACCGCGTCACTCAGCCCCATGTCTACGCGTCTTTTAAATGCCTCCAGCGACGGTGACTCCGCCACTTCCCCGCGCAGCGTGTTCCAGCATTTAACAACCCTTTAGGTGAACAAATTGTTCCTAAATATCCAATTTAAGCCTCTCCTGGTGCAACTTGAGGCCGTTTACCCTCGTCCCATCACGTGGGACAAGAGCCTGACCCCCACCTCGCTACAACCTCGTTTCAGGCAGCTGTAGAGAGCGATGACATCTCTCCTCCGGCTCCTTTTCCCCAAGCTGAACACCCCCAATTCCCTCGGCCGCTCCTCACAACGTTCGTAAGATGGGGATGGGGTGACAACAGCCACGCTCGCTGTCCCCGCGCCGCGACAAGAGACGTATCGTCACCCCCTGTTCCCGTGCCGCGGAAAAATGGGTGACAACGGCCGCTATCCCCGCT